GTAAAATTACAGTGAAAGTGTGACGGAAAGCCAGGGGAAATCGATTTTGGTTCGAGTTAGCGCGAGGTTCGAGTTAGCGAGGGTTCGAGTTATCGGGAGTCGACTGTAGATCCGAAATTGGTGATGAATTCCACTATTTGTTGAAATGTACTCACTCATCACTTTCTCATATAAGACTGTTGCAGCTACAAGTAGTACATTAGGGGCTTATATGCTCATGGCAGGTTACGGGAGGCATGAAGTGCAAATGGATTGAAAAAAAAAGTATTCAATCAGATAAAGGGTTTAATTGGGCGAAGTTGGCATGCGTCTTCTATACAGTGGAACTTAACCTCTCCTTTGGGACAGCTCCATTCAAGGGACACCTCCATTCAGGGGATACAAAATTTGGTCCCGGAAAATGTTCACCATGATAATCTTTGTACTGTTACCTTTATTGAAGGGACAACTCTATTTCAGGGGAAAGGGACACTTTTCCAGGTCCCAAAACCCAGGTTTAACCTCAATTTTGGGGACAGCTTAACACTCAAAAAGTGACTGGCCACAAAAATCGTTGATAAGTTTAAGTGTTTACTCGAGTCACGATGGCGACATCTTTCAAAACATGAACTTTCTCGCCCTCAAGCTTAGCCTCCCCCGCAGACATTCTTAGGGGTGCGTCACGCGTTCCTGCCCCACAAACGTTCGTGGGCAGGAATGCGTGACGCACCCCTAAGAATGTCTGCGCGGAGGCTAACTTAAACTGCATCACAGGTAGCCCAAACTCGAAATATGAGCATCGGCGAGCATCGGCATTGTTGCGTAACTTGATTCAAATTATAAGGATTTGTATGGGTAAAAAACCTATCGTTTCTGTAACCCACGAAAATGAAAGGATTTCAATAAAAAACAGCTTACCTTACTTAAAATGTGTGTTAAGTCTCTCCTGTGTGGTCCACGGGCCGATTTATGGCCGTTTTATGGGTTTTTATGTAAACGGTTTTCCCTCTATATACATATATAAAGGCTTTATATAGAGTGTTTTCACTCACGTGACTTGGTTTCCTAGCAACCCTACTATCCGCCATGTTGGTGTCCCAAGAAAGAAAGCGTGAGCTGGTCACTTATTGTATTTACAGCTGTATTTATCGATTTAAACTGTGAAAGATCAATCTTATATGGGTTTCTCTTACCATGGTTCTGTGTGTTATTGTTGGCTGTGGCAACAAGAGTGGAAAAAGTTCACAAAAAAAGGATTCTGCAGTGAAATTTAGTCGCCTTCCGAAAATCGTCAGAAGGCGAAATGATGGAGCAGTTGACGACCATAAGAAGACGTGCATGGATTTCTGCCATAAGTCGCAGTGACCTTACGGACGATAAGCTTGAACATGAGAGGGTTTGTTATAGGCATTTTGTGTCTNGTTATATGCTTGAAGACTTTTAAAGGCCTTAAATTGTTCCTTATTGTAGTGACTGGTTTCAAGAACAAGATACGAAACGAGGTCAATCGACTCGGTGGGAGGAAGACATTCGGCATAGTATTTTTGGCATGAAATTAGAAAAGGATCGACTCCAATGCACGCTATTTTCTGCATGTACCTTTTCTTAACAAGAGGATCAAGTGTATTTGCACATTCAGACAATTGGGGAGCGTCATCTTTCTCCTTAGACATCTTTTATAATGTAAATGACCGTAGATCCAAGAGACTTTATAAGCCGCGAAGGGACACCAACATGGCGGCGGGAGTTTTCGCGGGAAAATTTTGAACTTTGTGACGTCACGTGAAAACACTCTATAGAGAGAAAACCGTTTACATAAAAACCCATAAAACGGCCATAAATCGGCCCGTGGACCACGCAGGAGATACGTAACGCACATTTTAAGTAAGGTAAGCTGTTTTTCATTGAAATCCTTTCATTTTCGTAGGTTACGGAAACGATAGGTTTTTCCCCATACATTCCTTATATTTTGAATGTTACGCAACAATGCCGATGCTCGCCGATGCTCATATTTCGAGCTTGGGCTACCTGTGACTGCACTTGTGGGAATTCAACACTCAACATCGCAGAGAAGAAAAGAACTGACCTACCAAGACAATATTTTCTTTTTAAAAACAAAACTGAATGCAAGGCTGGCACCACGGCAAACGGCTGATTTATTATAGGCCAATCATAGTTTCGGCTAACAAAATTAGCCTTCCTCAGGGCCAAAGCTATAAGGAGAGAAAATATCTTTTAACGGCTCCTGAGTGGTTAACAATCAACTAAAATCATACTATTTTTATTGTATAATCATTGACCTGTATATTATTCTCTCTAGTATCTATAATTTTAGTTAATTATTAACCACTTATGAAAATTTTGAATTCAAATTTTAGGAGCCGTTAAAAGATATTTTCTCTCGGTATAGCTCTGGCCCTGAGGAAGGCTAATTTTGTTAGCCGAGATATTGGCCTATAATAAATCAGTCCTTTGCCGTATTGCCAGCCTTGCATTCAGTTTTGTTTCATTTTACACATCAAGTGACGTCTGGCTACAGCATCTCTTTAATAATAGATTCGGCAAGAGGAACCAGTCAGTTATATTTAAGTGTTGCGTGGACCTCTGCATTCAAACAGGTTTTTCTTTTTTAAGTTCACAGCAACTACGACACATGCATGTTAACGTATCGATACATATATCGAATGTCCTCGAGGTACATGTATTACAACGAGAAAATATTACTGAAAAAGCTAAAGAAGAATGAAAATTTGATTCAAGTGTTGATGTCTTTAGCCTTGCAGCTAATGGGGGATAGTATTTGAAACCTTTTTTTCCATAACTATTTCTTTGAAAATTTCCAGAGGGGAGTATCTCATCTCCACTAGGTGAGATTTGAAAGGTTTGTTAATTCCGGATTCCGGCGTTCCAGATTTGTCCCGTCCGAAAACCTCAGCGCAACGCGCGTCTGTGACAAAAAAGGCGCGAAAAATGTTGTCGTACGTCGCCTTTTGTATGAACTTTTTGGTTTAAACCGCACGCACAAAGCAAACAAAGCAATATTTTCTACAAATTTGTCCATATATCTGGCCGCGAAAAACGGTATATAATAAATGCTTTCTTGAAAATGTTTTTTTACATTGTGTGGAGTGGATTATTGTCGAATGAATGGCAAAGTAAGGCGAGCTGGAGGCACGTGGTCTGTTTCTAGCTGTCCCCATCTGCAACGCTTGGTTTATAGATTATTTAACTCCGTTTTTTTTACAGTTTTTGTGCTCAGTTGGTACAGAGATCTCCTCTTCAGTGAAGAAAGGTAGGGTTAAAAGGGGAAAGAGTGATTTAATATTCTCAGTGAGGAAACTTTATGACGTCCTTTATAGCTTTAACAGCTTATAAATTTATGTGACGATAAATCATATATTTTTAATTTTTGTAGGAAAGAGTCAGTAAAAGCAGGTGAAAAGACTTCAAGACAAACATTGTCCAGGTAACAAATCGATTAACGTTTTTCCTTTCGCTATGTATTCCTGTTAATCTATTAATTATTCTTAATGACAATTAAGATTTAACTAGTAATTATTTTATTTACTATACTCAATGACCTCACATGATACAACACATGCATCACACTGTTGAATCAAAGTTACGTTTAACAATATTCCAAGAACTCTAACCTTCCGCTTGCAGAAAACCACAGAATAGACCTAAAACTTGGAAATATATGGAGAAAAAATAAGAAAAAAACAAAAGGGCCGGCCTGTTATGTCGCGCAACTTGTAATAATCATTGCACTTTGTTAATACCTGTTGCAATTTATGATAAACCGTATCGCATGTTGCAATAAAAAAGCTGTCGCAATTTGTAACAACTACAAAGAATCGCACTTTGTAAAAATAAACTAAGCTGTCGCAATTTGTAATAATTCCATCACACTTTGTAAAAAACGTTTTTAGAGTTATTATTCAACTTTATTTGTTTGACATTAACGTGACCAATATCTTGTCAAAAACATGAACGGCACCCCATAATCAAAGATGATTCTGTCATCAAGCAAGTAACTTACGAAAATTGAAGCCGGTTATCTCCCTTCAATAAGATTAGTCAAATTTACTTGTCATAGACTTACGAAACACGAAATTCCCGGTGATACTCCATATAATGGCCTTTACGGGAAGGCTCCGCCCGCTGGGGGTACCTTATTCGAGCTCCAGGTATATGAAAGAGTTGGGATTTTACTTATTGAAATTTATGAAAGGGTAGGGAAATCCGTTGTGATTTCGATCGTTTTACCGGGACAAAGTTGAGTTGTTTTCGTTGTGAAAACTAAAATGGCGGACATTTCACTCGTTTCAAGAGTAAGAACTACAACTGGAACTAGGCGAAATAATGGCTAAAAGCATAGCAACAACAGCAAGAAGACAACTCGGAGGGCGACATCTGCTATTCGGAGAATATTTGCGGAGCTAGACAAACCTAAACGTACAATATCGAAGATAAACTTAACATCGATGCAGGTAAGCATTTTTTAGCTATGTTTTTAAACTAGGAATTATTTTGAATTAATAATAAAACAATTAATGAATTCGGCTTTCGTAGGATATGAAGAATTAAGCAGATCTCGGAGGGTGTTATCCACCTCGGATAACACCCTCCTCGATCTGCTTAATTCTTCATATCCTACGAAAGCCGAATTCATTACTTGCTAAATAACTAATATCTAAGAACCTCACCAGGCAAAAAAACACAGAAAGAAAGAAAGCAACAACAACAAAAACAAACAAGCTTCACTATACTAAAAACTACAACTATAGAACTATGCCCTGTTCACGTAATGACAAGAGAACTTAGGGATATTTACACGCAAATAAACAGGGTTACTTTTCCGTTTCCCAGTGCATTCCAGGAGAAAAAGCCTCTGCTCGCAGGGTACCTCGTCTTCACTGAATAATATTATTGCAAATTAAATAACTAAGTCTTTCATTCTGATTGGATAGTGGTAATAACAGGGAAACGTATGGTGGACAAAATGTGCACTACGAATTATAGAAAGTTTGACTTCGATTTATTAATGGCTTGTTTATAATACAAATACATTTATTACACAACAGTTTTTCGGTGAAATTCTGTATTATCTTTTCTGGTCTCCGAGATCTTCTATGCTGTCATCATCAATCTAAAGTTACAAAAAAACATCAAAATATTTTTTAACAGTGTAAGGCAAGAGTTTTAACAAATATTACGACCAGTAAACTGTAAATTGTAAAGCTTGATATAAAACATTAGAAAAGGATCAGTAGAGAAGTGGATAAGGAAAAAAAAAGGTTATAAAGCTGACAGCCGCGAAGTCGGAGTAGGACTCGTAAGAGCGCTTAAGACTTTGTCAAAATCAAAAATCGGAGTCGTAAGCGGAGCGATAAGCGCCACAGAATTGGAGTCGGAAGAATCCGAAAGTTTCCGTTTTCATTCCGAATCCGCTTATGACTCCTTCGCTTATGATCTTGTGAAAACCAGATTGTTGGAGTCGGAAGTCGGAAGTAGGAGCGCGAGGATAAACCAATCACAATGCTTGTTCCCACGATTTGTGATTGGTTTAGTTCTTCCGCTTCTGCTTGCAACTCCGACAACCCTAGTTTCACTAAACGGTAAGCGACGGAGTCATAAGGGGAATCAGAACGCTGTTTCACTAGATCATAATACTCTAACGCTTCTGATTACGACTCCTCAAAAGCACTGTTCCTAGCTTGGAGTAAAAAACATTTGGTAAATCAAAGAGGTTGTTTTTTTTTTGTCACCATGGTTATGAGCTATGTGCTGACTAGATAGGTCATCACACTTGTTCAGAAGAAAATTATATAGTGGGGTGGGGGGAGGAAGGGGAGGGAGGTGGGAGAGGGGCTGCTAAACCAAAGTTCTATACGGGAAGGCTCCGCCCAGAGGTCCAACCCTTCACCCTTTTATGCACCATTTTTGGCAGAACAGTACCCCTTTTAATTTGTATACCTTCCACTGAAAAATGGTACTGGTACCCCTTTAAACATACCTATGAATAAGTATAAAGGCCTAAAACAGAAACTCCCTCTGTCATTTTTGTGCAACATTTTAATAAATTAAAATGCTAAGTATAGCAAGGCACGTCTTTTTGAAGCATTTTAAATAAAAGACCTTTTAAATACTTAAACGATTTTCCTACCCTTTCATATACTTCAACTTGTGAGTCCCTATCCTTTAGCCTGAAAAAGGTACCCCCTTCAGGCAGATCCTCCCTGTATAAGCCTTTATGGGGAAATCGCCCAGGATGTTTTCCTTATTAATTATTGCATGCGTCCTCCACGCTTCCCTGCCCCAATCTACATGGGAGCTTTTATTTGAAGGCTTCTTAAATTTTCTTCTCTTGAAAGAAATATTGAGAGAAATTTCTTCATACTGTTTTGTTGTTACAACACAAATAATTGGTTATGAAAATATAGGGAAAATAAAAATGAATAATGGACTAAAATAATCACCTCTGGCCACTTTTCAGGAATAAAATCCAGAAGATCGTCTAAGACATCTCCCTGGATGACAATTTCATCAGGGCCTGTCACTGATGATCCACAGGAGTATTTTTGAGCAAAGGCCTTGGCAGCCTTCTTGCAGTCAATATCTAAAAAACGTTTGCACATAACAGCTTAGAACTTTTAAAGATGCAAATGTTTCTTGATGAGTTACTTTTCTCACTCACAGGCGTACTTATTTATTGAGTTACTTTGTGAATCCCTGGATAACTGAAAAATGATTGATTGATAATTAACTGATTACTCATTAAAATGACTGAGTCATTAATGTATTGGGAGCTACATATATATTCGACTAATAAGTAGCAAATACAACAGAGGATAATTATGTAAATTTTCCAGGGACAATACCCCGTTACAATAGTTTAAAATTCCCTCAGGATGAACTTTTTTCTGACACCATGATCTTACCTGTACATGTAACCAAACAATATGTGAAAATATGCTAAGACAAAGGGCACACAAAGCAGCTGTACATGAAGTTACTACACAGATAATTATTACCATATTATTATTATTGGTTGAAATTCCAGTCCATCATAATTATTAATTTACAGAGTAATAAAATCTACTTCCAGCCTCTGTTAAAACTACCTAATCATACACCAGGGTGGAGACAAATTTTGCAGTTGTGGGGCGACATGTTTGTGTGTAAAAAAACCTTACAGTGGTAGCCAAGACCAGGCAAAAACCATTAAACCTCATGATAAGAGTCAAGGCCTGTATAATGTTTTTAAAAATGGTTAATAGAGGATTAAGAAAATTTTAAACCCAACATCTTCTGATCCAGCAACTAGTAGCGACTCCATCCAGTGTGCTTTAAAAAACAACCAAACAAGTTAATACAATTTTCACTTACCAAATGTACCTAATCCAGTCACAACAGTCACATACTTCTTTTTGTTTCTTTGTGCTCTTGAAAGTACAACTTTCTTGGTCACATTCTTAATTAAGAACAATGACAAAGTCAACATAAACAAATCACTAGTGAAAACATGCCTTAATTGCTATTAATAGCCAAGTTGCATCTTGTCCTCCCCTCAGACACAGCTGAACAGGCAGCAGATACAACATTCTATTTCTACAACATCCAGGAAGCAAAAGTGTCTGTTGATGCAGGATATATGTTCCAAGTTGACACTATGTATTAGAAAGGCAAACCTGGTTCATTGTATTTTCACAGACATAAGAAAAGGTCACCTGCTGCTCAATGGTAATGCAGCTTTGGGCTCATAAGTGTAAAGCAGCAAAAAAAAAAAAAAAAGATCAGTACCGGTGGTAAGACACTATGACTCTGCCAACCCTTATGTGACCTCTAAAATTAAACATGAAAATGCATTGGACCTGTCCACCTGACTTGTTCCCAATTTATTCTCAGTCTCCTATTAATATTCAAGATTCTCATGTTCTGCTCCTCTTGTGTGATTCCCTCATCCAAAATATGGAGATGACCAGGGATGAGTCACCTGGTCTCCTACACACTGCCCAATGAGTAGTCTATTGAAATGTAAAAAATATACCAAGCTTAAGATTGTTACAAAACAATATTCAATAGTTTTAAATCACCTTTTTCTTTGGAGCTCTCACAACTCCCTTTCCACCTAGGAATAAAGCAGGAAACATGAAACAAGTATGTGTTTACACACAGTACTATCCAACAATGTATACCACATTATTTGACTTACAGTTATGAGGGCTTTCTTAATCAGAAACCTACTTTATTTAAGTGTCACATGAATGTAATTATCATGCAAGTACCATATTAAGGACACCAACTCTTACATGACTGTATGTCTCTTACTGACACAGCCTGCCATTTATACATCATCTGAACTACCCAAAGCTCTGGCCATTTGCAGGGGAAATGTAATACTTTGTCGCTTCTTTTAAGAAAATAAGTATACATGCAAGTGTTGGTTATATCCCAAAAATTGAACCAGCTGCAACTTCATGTTCTACAGACAAGCACTCTAGCAACTGAGCTACTTTTGAAACAGGGTAGCTTGAAACTTATNAATATACCAAGCTTAAGATTGTTACAAAACAATATTCAATAGTTTTAAATCACCTTTTTCTTTGGAGCTCTCACAACTCCCTTTCCACCTAGGAATAAAGCAGGAAACATGAAACAAGTATGTGTTTACACACAGTACTATCCAACAATGTATACCACATTATTTGACTTACAGTTATGAGGGCTTTCTTAATCAGAAACCTACTTTATTTAAGTGTCACATGAATGTAATTATCATGCAAGTACCATATTAAGGACACCAACTCTTACATGACTGTATGTCTCTTACTGACACAGCCTGCCATTTATACATCATCTGAACTACCCAAAGCTCTGGCCATTTGCAGGGGAAATGTAATACTTTGTCGCTTCTTTTAAGAAAATAAGTATACATGCAAGTGTTGGTTATATCCCAAAAATTGAACCAGCTGCAACTTCATGTTCTACAGACAAGCACTCTAGCAACTGAGCTACTTTTGAAACAGGGTAGCTTGAAACTTATCGATAAAATCAGGGAATTGAATCTTCCTACTTTTCTTTTAATCATTAAATTCTTATTAAGAGGGTTATAAACACCTTATGCACTTCCAAGACAGCCACAAGCAACAACAAAGTGCTGCAACAAATTTTTCATTTGAATAAGTACAGTATGGAGTTGGTCTATGGTCTAAAAAGTTCTTACATACTAATACTACGTCATATATGATAATGAGGCACTCGAGATATGAAAGTGCAGTCAAACCTTCCGTAAATGACCACCAAAACTGGGACAATTTTATGGTTGCTTACAGGAAGCACATGTAGTGGCTCATGAGAATCAAACCACAGGGGATCTCTTCCCAGAAAATGTCCTAACACATCAATTTTGTGGCAGAGAATTAAATTCATTCAATTTCTAAGTTAAGTATAAGTGCAGTTCCATCTTGTTACTGAAAGTTCTTTGTAGTACATACAGTAAACAAAGAGAGCACACCATGCATCAAGTGGTTGCTTAAAAGAGGTTAAAAACAATGGAAAACTACAAAACCATCAGGCCAAAAAGTGGGTGCAGTTGCTTATTAGAGGTGGTCATTCACGAGAGGTTCTAACAGTAGGGCTTTGACGGGGAAAATTTTGGTGTTTTAAATAAGTGGCCATTATGGGAGCTGGTCGCTTACAAGAGGTGGTCACACATGGAGGTTCAACTGTTAAAATTACCTCTTGTCTGCTTCTTTTTTGCTGCACCTTCACTGACATCCACTTCAGCTAACTGTTCAGCAGCTAACAATAACAGAAGACATTTATAACATAGCGTGCATGCTTGCCCTTTATTAACTACTATTGAGTCGCAATGAAAAAAACCTTTATTTACACATGCCCATGTGTAAATAAGATGACGTGTACAGTTTTTTCCAGGAAACTTGGATTTTCGTCTCTTTTTCTCAACAAGTCTCCAATAATGAGGAACAACTTTCTAGCATTTTTGGAATTCAGCTTCTAGCCACTCAATTAAAACAACAGGAAAAGTGGTGAAGATGTTTCGCAAATTAGTCAGAGCCCTCAAGTCATTGAAAAGTCTCGTATTAAGACTGACATTCAGCTGGGAAAAGACCACAAATTGGTCTGTGTCGAGGGATATCCAATTTGCATAAAGTGCTCAGCCTCCGTTTTTAAACTTTGTTTGGCCTTTTGAAAACAAGTTAATTATAAAGTAATAGCAAAACATTATGCACTTTTGTTATAACCGAACAACCCAAGGCAGGAAAATCTCCCCTACAATAACAAGACTGTGAATTACACAAAAAGACATATATTATATTAATTAATTGCACTCAAGAAGTGCTTCTTGAGTGCTCTCCAAACTTCTCAAAGATGATTACTATGTCACGGGTAATTTTCAAACAAATTAAACCGAAGTTTGTTCAATAAATTACCTTGGTTTATAAGAACTTCATAAGCATCAGGGATATTTGACTTGAGCCATTCCTTACACTTCTCATATTCTGCAGTGTACTCACAGTACTAACAAAGACAAATATGACTCTAGTGTCAGTGTGATGAGTAAAAATGTTTGGAAATCTCACAAATACTACTTGGATATTTAAAACAAAAGGGATAAACTGTCCCCAATATTTCATTACTGTGGTTGCTAATGAGCAACAACTTCTTCCCAAACCTTTTTCTCATCATGAAGATTAAAGTGAGATTTCATATAATTCACAATATTCCTATTGATTTCAGGTGAATTGTTTTACCCTTTCCTTTGTCTTCTATGGCTAGGAGACATTGGAAATTTAGAATCAACCTAGGTTAAATCAAAATTTACTTGAAATCAAATGTGACCTGTAACATAATGCATACTATAGGGGTGAGTATTAAAGTCATTTCAACCATCCCAATAGAGTTCTCATAGTTGAAATAGTAATTGCAATAGTCTCAACACTGAGCGAGGTGAATTTTAAATTGCGCCATCATCAGTGTGAAGTGTATTTGTAACACCAAGATACCAACCTTAAAAAAAAGGAACATTACATACAGAGCTAGAGAAAGTAACTGATTTAGGAAACTAAGAAAACAGCATCCTCATAAAACCTTACCTCAAGGGGCAGGCTACAAACTGGATGAGGAGACAATCATCGAACCAGTCCACGATCAGTGGCAAATTAACAAAACAAAAAACAGCAAAAGTATTTTAGTGCTAAATACGTTTGAATTATATGCAACACGCGAAAAACTTTTTACCTCCACAGTATTGAACTATTAGAGGATATTCGATTTTTTCTTCTGATTCCTCGGGATTTTCTGTCACAGGTTCGTGGTCTCCTTCTTCCGCCATTTTGTTTTTCTAGACTTTTGAGAAATAACGCTGTACAAGGCGATTGCAGTAGCGAAAAATTTTCATGCCCCGGTCGCCCCGGGTATCGATCCCCCGAATACCCACCGCGGGCGTTTTTTGTTCCTGTCATTTACAGTGGGCAAGGATGTGTATCAAAACAAAAACAACTATAGTAATAAACGAGACTATCTTTGCATTTTTCTCAAAACATTAAGCTTCTTTTCGCTGACAAACCTTTGCCGCACCTCAGGGAATAGCCTGCGAACCGCAGACTTATTTCCGGTCGTCGCTTCTTAAGCCGAAAAAACCGGATGCTCTCGCAAGCTACACAGGGACCAACTGTTTTGACAAGTGGAGTTGAGTTAGAGAGTTGAGAGACAAGAGTTGAGTTAGAGTTGACTTTAAGTCAGTTAACTAACTTAACTCTAACTCAGCTCAGACTCGTCTCCCGGCCAGAAGAAGAAAACCTGTGCGTTCATTTTCAGGGAGTTCAGCAGTGATTAGGTCAGGCATTTATCCTGACCCGAATCCCGACCCGAATACAAAGTACAATACTCTTTAATACAAAATAAACCGTAAAGAAAAGTTGGTTAGCATACAAGATACATCTAAAATTTGATTGACGGCTTTGGGGCATGAAGCCGCCATCAAAGACATCTCCTCCAAACAATGACGCAACCATAACTGAGACGTTTACATAAACATTGAATAGAAACTTCGAACAGATTTGCATGCCTAATTAAAACTATCTTCCTAACTTCAGCACTGGGAAATATTCTTCCTTCTGTTTGAATGGAAAAGCTTTGACAGCTTTTCGCAGCAGCTTTTATTACTAGCTAGTGCGTACTTTTCGACATATTTCGTCTTTAGAGATAATGGCTTGTTAACCATGCTGCTTGTTATGAAGTGGGTGTTTTTGAGTGTCAGAAATTGTCTCGTTTTTGCAAAGAATGGGAAATTTTAGTTCTTCCGGTTTGTCAGTCGTGATATACTACAATGAAAACAGTCTTTCTACAACAGCTGAATAGCTTGACTTCTTAGATGGAAGTACTTGGCTCCAAATGAGACTCAATTAGACGTAAGTATTATGTTATATGTTATGAAACGAATTATAGCCTTCTGATTACTGCAAGGACTTTAACTGTACACTCTGCTTGTGTCGGCGTAATGCCTCATAATCGTTGCAATATCACAAGCCCCTTAAACGATCGAGTGCCCCGAAAAGGCATAAAATGTCCCGTGTCCGAGTACTCAGTGTCTGACTGGTATCCGGTCTTTACTAAAGTTGGGCTAAATAAGTATGCAACAACCCTTTTTCATTTTGGGGCACCCGGCATACCAAGCACACAAGCCGATCTTGTCCATACAATTTGTTTCTTCCCTGTAAACGTGCTACCTAATGAGATTTAGCCCGAGAGACAATGACGCCGCTCCACCGACTCGTGACAATAACGTAACCTAAATTGAGACTGACGAAAAAATATCTGAATCAAGTTTTCAAAAAAAGGACCGACTTACTACTTAAGAGCTGTTTAGGCCAAAGAAACCATAAAATTCAGGACAAAAGTTAGCTCCATAACTCTTGGCAGAGATTCGCTCCTCGAGGACTCGAGTTATTCTCATTATTTCTGAGTGGAGCTTGTTCCGTTCATCTCAAACAAACGATGACACAGGAAATTAGCAAAGACTACATGATATGTGCTTGTCCCAAGATCTGGGTACTTTTTTGACAAAGAATAGTACAGGTGGGCGCATAACTGAAAAACTTTGCGACATTACTAATTTTTTGAAGATTGGAAATGTGAGTGAACTCATGGCAGGTGAAACAAGTTGAAAGTTCTCAGACTTGACAGCTAAGAGGCGCATTGTTACGATTTCTTTTAAGAATCTAAGAATATAGAATGAAATCCGGATTGCGTCACTAAACAACCAAAAAGGGGGTGGATATTTTTTTCTCTCTAAAGGCTGTTACTGTTCGTATTGAAACAATTAAAGCTGATCGAAAATCAGGTTTAACCACTACGTATATGTAGTAGTTCATGTGTGCTGGTCAAGATACTTGTATGTTCGTCAGAATTCCTTTATTCAGTATTAGCGACCCGGTTGGCCACACGTCTTAGTTTGTTTGCGTTCTTCACCTCGGTGCTATGCAAATCAGCTTAGTGCATTCGTATAGGTTATTACTTATTGTGCCAACTGTGCAAAGGAGCATTTTTACAAACCTAATAGGCTATTGCACTAACTTGGAAGTGACTCCACAGTACTCACGATAGATCCCATTGATGAATAAGGCCATAATGATTAAGTCACCTTTCAGGCGGTTGTTCTATTTCATTACTTGCTATAAACATTAAACAATTAATGTTAGCATTCATTGACTTAGTGAAAGCAAACAAGCTCTTTCATATCCTCTGCACTTTTACATACCTGGTTGTACATGCATGTACTCTGAAATCACTTTGGAATGTCTTTTTAGCTAGTTTTCGTTAGTCTGCTACTTTGAATTCACATTTTTACTGTCACAATAATAGCAGGCGTTGCAATCTATATCATCTCTATAAATTCGAAGTCTACTAAATGGTATATTAAAAATGGCCTTGTCCTGACGTTCGGATGTAATTTTGGTAAGTCTGTTAATCGCATATAAAGTCAATGTTCATTTTAAGATACAAATTTATCAGCCAGCGGCATTTAATTAAGGTCCAGGTGTGAAAATTTCTTTTACAAAGATGTTATCTGTATGACAACAACAGAACCGACAAAGTGTATTAAGTAAATTCAAACAGTTTTTCAATAGCACTTGGATCAGTCTATCGAGATTTCTAGTTTTTTAAGATTTTGGATTGACAAGGTAGGGAAATACCGGAGATAAGCTTTTATAGTGCGATTAATTTTATAATTACAGTTAGTTGTCTCAGTAAAATTCCTTGCGCTGCCTTTCTAGAACTCTTTCTTTCCCCGTGGGACGATCTTTACAGGGGGAAATAGAAGGTCTGTGCGGCACCGGTTTTGTTTGTTGCAATCACTCTCAGGGGGCCGAAATTTTTAGTCGGTTGCTGAAAACCACAAAACGCCCCTATCTAAATCAGTTGAGTTTTTAAAACGTCTCTTTTAAGTAGAACTACTTTAACTACCTAACTTACTTCCTTTCGTTTTCAATGTAACAGGGTCTCTTTCCGTGTCCTAGTTTGGATTCTCATGGGTCAAGATCTTTATTGCGGCCTACATTTCCTCACAAGCCGCTTTCAA